TCTTATCGTATCCACGAGGGGTAATTTCGGATTAACAGAAAAATAAGTTACATAATAGCTATAAGTGACTCTTTTGTAAGAATGAAACTGAAAAGTGTCTTTGAATGTAAATAACTCTTCTAAATTTAAGGGACTCACATATTCTTGGCAGCATGAAGATACTGGTGGTGTTATTTTCTCTTCCTCCATTGACATTTTTTCACGTGTTTACTGTTTCACTTTCATGTTTGGATCTAGGCTTTTATCAAATAATCAAGGAAAATTTCTGAAAATCCTTGGAATTAGCATGAATTTCATGAGCTCTGGACAGTATACCACAGGAGCTTGGAATTTATTTAAAAGATGACCTGATTGCTTCCAAAGTTTCTGAAAATCATGGAGAATTTATCTTTACGATAGAAAATATGCCTAGTTTTGGTTTTTACAATGACTGTCTCACATATTCTTGGCAGCATGAAGATACTGGTGGTGTTATTTTCTCTTCCTCCATTGACATTTTTTCACGTGTTTACTGTTTCACTTTCATGTTTGGATCTAGGCTTTTATCAAATAATCAAGGAAAATTTCTGAAAATCCTTGGAATCAGCATGAATTTCATGAGCAATGGACAGTATACCACATGAGCTTTGGAATTTATTTAAAATATGACCTGATTGCTTCCAAAGTTTCTGAAAATCATGGAGAATTTATCTTTACGATAGAAAATATGCCTAATTTTGGTTTTTACAATGACTGTCTCCCATGTTATCATCTTAATGCCCCAAGCCACCACGTCCCATGAGCTGTTACCATTAGTATAACCAATTAACACCTATATGTTCGTGTTTCGGGTAGTAATTAGCCGATGTGGGATAAATTAAAGACTAGCCCACAATCGACTCCCTGGAATTGTTCTTTAACTTTGGTCCAAATAGTGAACATACATTACCGAAAACTAGTTCATCTCCTGAAGGCACCAAAGCATACAAGATACGGATCAAGGTGTGGATAAAAAGCCATTGAAATCCTAATAAATATGGTGTTATGTTCGATGCAAACTTTTATCAGATTATAAATAAATAAACAGAAGCAAAATGACAAAAGTAAAGCTTTGAAATTAAAATGATCAAAAAGAAAGCCCAGGGAGCGGGTTTAGCCAGCTTGGAAGCACATACTGTGAAAAGTAGAGACTGTGAGTAAAATTCGTACACTTGTTGTAACCTTGTAGTTCTTCTTCTTCTAATGGGGGAGTGGAATAAGCTAAATAGATGGAGTCCACATACTCCTTGCAACCGCTAAGTCTCAAGATGCAACCATCGATACACTTGTTGTTCTCCTCCGACTCCTCCGTGTAAAGTCTATACCTGCTAGTCGTCAAGTTCAACACGACCAAGCCGTTCTTGTTCCTACTCCAAAGGTATATGATATTGGAGTACAAAGGATGCATCACCACAGGGAAACAATTGAGCCCGACCAAATACACAAGTTTCGGCATTTGCCACGCAAGTTTCCATGACGCGTTAGGATCTTCATTACAGTACTTTACCAGCCTCCAAATCCTGATTGTAGGGCCTCCATTATCATTGATAATGTTGCAGTACATCAGGGATCCGGCAGACGTTGTGATTGTTCTCTTGAAACTTTGTTTCAAGTCCATACCAGGAAAGGTATAATGATAAGACCCTCATCATCACCACCTCCTTTATAGAAATCATAAGTTACAATATAATCTGCGTCCTGGTCACTACCAGCCGAAGCAAGCCAATGAAGAATCCCGTTCAAAGGAACGGATTCACGTAGCCTAGACCATATCATGACACGGAGGCAATGCAACTCTTTGATTTCCCATAATCCAGTTTCGGAGGAATATATCATCAAAGTGAGAACCTTAGTTACACAACATGAAACCAGCGTCCATACAACCTTGTACCCCACGACAACACCCTTTTCCATCTTTGTGACGAGTCCATTGTCGTTGAAAAGAAATCTATTCGCCTGCAACCTCGTAACATCATAACCAGAGAGATGTGGAGGGTGTTAGTTGTAATTGAGTTAGAGTCAAGAGTCGTAACTTATTTTATCTAGAGTCGTGTCTTGTCAAAAGTAGTTTTCTTTATGTTGAAAAGTCATAAGTGAAGAGTTACAACTGTTATTGTTTGTGTTGTTTCGGTGAGTCAGTTTCACGTCTATATAAGACGTTGTCTTTGTATTGTAATAACCAACTTTTTTTTCTCTTATCAATAAAGAAACAAAGGTTGTGTGTTTGTATCAAAGAGAGCATCAATATTTATACTCTGAACATCGCAAGTGATTCCCATTTTTGATGGGGATAAATACGATTTCTGGCGTATCAAGATGACAACAATTTTCAAAACCAGAAAATTGTGGACGGTGGTGGAAAACGGAGTTTCAAATCGACCGGCACAAAGTGAAGAGACTCACAAAGTGTTGCAACTAAAAAGGAAATGGGAAGAAGAGTCAACAAAGGATTTGACGGCGCTGCAAATTCTGCAAACTGCTGTGACAGACCAGATCTTCTCTCGCATAGCACCAGCACAAACATAAAAGGAGGGTTGGGATTCTCTGCAAACCGAATTTCAAGGATCGCCTCAAGTTCGATTAATCAAACTCCAGTCGCTGATAAGAGAGTATAAAAATTTGAAGATGAATGACGGTGATAACATCAAGGATTTCACGGGAAAACTAATTGATTTGGGAAATCAATTAAGAGTCCATGTAGAAGAGAAAACAGATGATCAAATAGTTCAAAAGATACTCATCTCTCTTCCTGAAAAGTTTGATAGTATTGTTGCCGTGATGGAGCAAACAAAGGATTTGCAAACTTTGGCCGTATCAGAGTTGATCGGTACTCTTCAAGCCCATGAAAGTCGTGTTGCTTCACGATATGAGAGTTCGACTGAAGGAGCGTTCTATGAAGAAAAGAAACGTGAAAACAAGAAGGCCAAGAAATGGTGTGGCGTTTGCAAACGAAACAATCACAATGAAAGCGAATGTTGGTTCAAGCAAAAGAAGAACCAAGGTGGCTCTTCACAAAAGGTTGTAAACAATGAGAGAAGGTGTTTCGTGTGTAACAAACTGGGATATCTTGCAAAGAACTGCAAACTTAGAAAATCCGAGAGAGCGGATCTAAGTCTAGAAGAAACAGATGATGAAGATCACATGCTGTTTAGTGCGGTTGAAAAAAAAATATCATCGAAAATAGATGATGAAACGTGGTTAGTTGACAGCGGGTGCACTAACCATATGACCAAGGAAGTTAAATACTTCATCACTCTTGATCAAAGCATAAAGGTTCCGATCAAAGTGGAGGATGGTCAGAATGTATTGACGGCAGGAAAAGGAAATATCCAAGTGATGACAACCAAGGAGAGAAGATCATCAAAGAGGTGTTTCTAGTGCCAGGTTTAGCAAAAAATCTATTGAGTGTATCTCAAATGATATCAAATGGATATGGAATCTTATTTGAAGATAATAAATGCCTCATCAACGATCCTCAAGGGAAAAGGATTCTGAACATTAAGATGAAGCATAAGAGTTTTCCACTCAGATGGAGTAACTTAGAAGCAAGTGGTTTACTTGTGAGTGCAGAAGAAGCTGCAGTTTCACAGGGAAAGATAGAGCAAAGGGTTGATGAGATTGACTTGAATGTTGATCCATTGGAGAATTAAGGAAAAGGCTTGGAGTAAGACCAAAACTCAATTAAGGCGGAGTATTAGTTGTAATTGAGTTAGAGTCAAGAGTCATAACTTATTTTATCTAGAGTCGTGTCTTGTCAAAAGTAGTTTTATTTATGTTGAGGAGTCATAAGTGAAGAGTTACAACTGTTATTGTTTGTGTTGTTTCGGTGAGTCAGTTTCACGTCTATATAAGACGTTGTCTTTGTATTGTAATAACCAACTTCTTTTCTCTTATCAATAAAGAAACAAAGGTTGTGTGTTTGTATCAAAGAGAGAATCAATATTTATACTCTGTTTTAATACAAAAATCAACAGAGGGAAAGGGATTCGAGCCCACTCTTGCAGCACAGGGTTTCCGACATGATACATTGGAGATCCATCGCTGGTTTCGGTGTAAAGCAATACCAATCCACCACCTGCGCAGCTCAAGACCGAAACTTTTCTCACCGTTGTCTCTGGTTTGTAACGCATCATCCAAGACCCCAGAGATTTGGTCAGACCCCATCTCTTGCATCCATGGTGTCCCACGATTTCCTTCGACATTGCGGGGTTCCTTGTGGTCGTGATTGACCACGACAGGGAGGAGCAAGTGTTCAGAGACTCGTAGATATCTTGGAATAACTGGGAATCGATTATCGATTTCCATCGTTTGCACACTGATCTGTATCTTGCGATGCTCCTCAATGAGGAAGACCGAGCCAAGACTTTCACCAACGCTTCCTCGGAAAGCTCAAACCTTCCTTTTTTGTCCTCCATTCGAGATTCTCAGATCTTTGGGCTCCTCTCGAACCCTAATACATTTTTATTATTATTTGTTTTGCTGTGGAAAATATTAGAGCATCTTCATCTCCAGTGGTCATACTGTGTTTGGGTATATTAACAATTTTTTATTAATATTTCTTAAAAGTGTCTAACAATAATGAACTTGGTCTTATAACAAGTGGGCTTCTCGCAAAAAAAAAAAATTTGCACGCCGCCAATACAATACTGCCACGTCGCCCATAAACCCTTTGGGCCTGTTAGCTAAACGACCGTATACTAAATTTGGGCCTGTTTTAATATTTTTTAAAAGCTCGGTCCATATATAACTGTGCCAACAACCTCTCATAAACTTTCAATGGAGGTGCTCTTAGGTTCGAGGTTATCTACCCCCTTCTTAATATTATATAGAGAATTTACGGATAAAACCCTTGTTACAAAAATTTAACCGAAATACAACAAATAGCATTATATAGTACTATGTATTTTGATGATGGATATGTATAGGATATAATAACTCTTTCCACATTAAAAAAAAAAAAAAAAAACTAGGATACTACCTGCACGCATGCATGTCCATGTGGAAGCCTGATTGATTTTACGATAAAATAAATATACATGCTTATATACTTTGCGAGTATGATCTATTACATGGAGGAAGTATCATGTTGTTCATGGAGAAAGTATAAAGTTAAAAGCAGTGGCGGATTTAATTTTTTTTTAATCGGGGACATCATATTATAAAATAACAAAAATAATTTCATAAAATATTTTAAGTTAAATAAAAATCTACAAAATTATCCTACGAGGTTTCATAATTGGAATTTTTTCATCACTACTATTTCATTTATCACTTTTTCAAATAATTGTTTCTTAACAAAAAACGGCACAATCGTTTAAAAACTGCATATAATTTATTATTTTTTGGTTAAAACTTAAAAGTAATAAATTATTTTTTTGTTGAAAATAATATATTATTTTAAAAAGTAACTTATAACCTAAAAATAATTACCAAAATTTAAGATCAAATTTTGATAAATATATATATATAAATTTAATTATTTTATTATTTATAAAACATTTATTCTCTCACCTTTTTTGTTAAGTATCAGATACTTTTTTTCGAAAGTTTGATGCATTATATTTAAATGAAGCAAGGGTTTTGTTACACTCTAATAGCAGACATAATAGGCCCATAAACTAAAGCTAATCAAAACCCAAAAAAATAAGGTGGATCTAACTGAATTTAGTATTATAGAAATTAAAAGCATTCAATAAAAATAATTTATAAGAATAGGGGGCACGTGACCCCATTGCTCATTATGTGTGTCCGCAATATGCGGAAAAAGCCGTATGTAACACCCGTGTTCGGGAAAAATCTTATCAAGTAGGAAAACTGGTTAAGGGAGTTATGAAATATATAGAGAAGAAATGAGGAAAAACCAGGAGGTTACCTGAGGAATTTCGGAAATGAGTTTGGTTGATAGAAAATGGGTTTAGTCGGGTGAACCCAAGCTAAGTCCAGCTTTCGCCGAGCTAAATCAAGTTTTGCTGAGCTAAAATCAGCTGGCCGTAATTTTTGGGAAGTTTAGCTGGAAATTCCGACAAGACGAGTTTTTCGAGACTTGTTCAGATTCAGACAAGGTTGGTCGGGAACAGACAGCCTTTGTCGGAAACAGGTGCGCACAGGAGCAGTTATCAGGTAAAACGCGCTAAGGCAAAAGTGCGGGAACGGTTATGGATTTAGCCGAGAAAACGTTTACGCAGGAACGGTATTTGTCGGGTAAAAACACGCGCTGGAGCAGTTTTTAGCCAAGAGTGTGCGGACTGGCGCGGGAACGGTTTCTGGGCGGTTTTCTGCGAAAAATCGTGTAAACGCCTATATAATAAAGGTTTCTGGCTCATTTTTTCTTCTTCGCACGACCAAAAAACTCAGAAAGATTGAGAGAAATGGTTTTAAGAGAAGTTAGTCGAGATAAAGTCTGTTTTGTCGAGAGATATCTGATTTTGGCCGAGAGCGAGTACGATTCTGTCAACTGTGATCCGGATTCTGCCAAGCGATCGTGGGAACAAGTCTGAGCGATCGAGAAATCTGTCTTTACCGAATCTGTCCGAGAAAACTAAGGTGAGTGCGTGACCATGGCCTAGTTTGGTCGTATTCTTGCTTAGATTCTAGTCGGTTGCGTGTATATTCTGTACTTGTCATGATATTTATGCTGGCTATGTTGTGATGATCGATCTACCTTACCGGCGATCTAGATCAGGCAAGGTGCTCGCGGCTGTGACGCTCGTCGAGGCTTGTCTGGTTGTGGGATGATCGGTCGGGAAAGTGTGTATGGTCATGCGTGGGTAGTTTTCTGTTTCTGATGAGCACTCGATCTTTGTTTGATGCGATTATACTTTGGCTCGGTGAGACGGGATGACCGCTCTCACTAAGCAGTTCTGTTTGCTCATGCCTCCTTTGTGGATGCAGATAAAGATAATGTCTGATAAGCGCACACGGACTAAGGCTGGAAAGGAATGGATGGTAGCATCTGGGTAGTTAAGGACTAGTCGATGTAATAGCTTATATGCGAACAATCAATGTACTATGAACTTCGATTTAATTCAAGTATTCTGTTTTTAATCCATTTATGCACAGATAAAACTGTCTAAATAAACCAAATGTGAAAAATGCTAAGTAAAAATCCGGATCAAAATTTTACTAAGTATAAGTTAAAAAGTAAAATCCGGGTTAGGATGCTACAAGTTGGTATCAGAGTGCGATCAGTTATAGAACAAGTCTAGCATAAGAGGGTTAGTGGGTAAACCATCCTTCCAATGCCGAAGTCCCGCGGCAAGGCTTATAATGTTTCGGTAGAATGTTAAGTTAGTTTGCTGGCTAACTTAATAGATGTATTGACCCTTTGCAGATGGAAGAGGTGATCGTAGACGGCATGCAGTGGATGAGAACTCGGCGGCTAGAAACGCCGAGGGAGGGAATCAGGATTAAGTGGATCCAAATGAGAACAATGCTGAGAATGCGGCTGCGGCTGCTGCGGCTGCTGCGGCTGGAGCTAATCAAAATGTTGCTGCTGCCCCGGTTGGATTGGAAGCGGTGTTGGATTTGTTGATCCAGGTATTAGCACGATTGCCGGCTATTGCGGTTATCCCCGTTGGACCACTGCCAGTTGTGGAAGTGAATCCGCAGGCTGTAGAAGTAGATGAAAGGATTACTGGTCCGGGGATCCTATCTTACCTAAAGGTGATGGACTACATGCAGAAGTTGGGGACAAAGTTCTTTCTGGGAAGAACTAAGCCGATCGAAGTTGATGATTGGATCGACCTTTTGGAGAGGAATTTCGAGTCGATCCGCTGCCCCGAGCAGTACAAAAAAGATATTATCATGCACTATCTTGAGGGTGATGTGCACACGTTGTGGCGTGGTGCGGTTGGGAAATTCAGAGACCGAGTATGTACCTGGGCTGATTTTCGTGGGATGTTTAAGGCCAAGTAATTCGTGTGTTCCTGAATCTGCGCCAAGAATCAAGGTGCGGGAATATGAGGCAGAGTTCAACAAGCTGAAGAAGTTTGCCAGCTGGGATATGGGAATCCAGAGTAAGCAGATCAAATGGTTTATTCGTGGGTTAAGGATCGATCTCCGCAAGCACTGTGAGATGCAGGAGTTTAAGAATTTTCCAGAGCTTGTGGAAAAGGCAGCTCAGCAAGAAGCGACTTCTGCGGAAGAAGCTAAGTTACTCGGTAATGCTGCTACAGTTGGGCCAAAAAAAGGGTGGACCATCAGGCAAACTACCCGCGGGTCGCAACGCTGGTTTGACTAGTGGAAAGAAAAAATGTGCGAGCTGGTGCGCATCTGGTGCTTGTCTCCAATGCGGAAGCATAGAGCACAAGGTGAAGGATTATCTAGAAGAGGACAAGCGCGAAAAGAACATAGGGAACGGATCTGATGAGAGGGTTTGTTTCCATTGCGGAGAGGTTGGGCACATTAAGCCGAGATGTCCAGAACTGATGCAAGTGGCACAGCACACTGGGAAGAGGCCGAGTGAAAGACCGCTGTCTCCAGCAAAGAGACAGGCCGTGATACCGCGGATCTATGTTATGGCTGAGGAGACCGCGGAGGATCCGAATTCGTCTTGTCCGATTACTGGTAAGTCTGTCACTTACCTTAGTAAATTTTCTGTGTGAAAATTCTGAGTGTGTGTGCGGTAGCTTATCAATCTAGGTGATTGTATAGGGACCTTGGTCATGGATTGTGTGACAACTCATGTTTTGTTTGATTCCGGAGCAGCTCATTTCTTCGTGAATCCAAACCTGGTCAGCAAAGGTGGATTTTGCAGGATACCGGGAGATAACTATGGCTTGGTCCAGGCGGCTGGTGGACAGGTCATGTTTACCCTCGGTAAGGTCAAGGATGTGTTGGTAATGGTTGGCAGCGTGAATATGCAAGCGGATCTGAAAATCTGCCAGGTGAAGTTTTATTACGTGATCCTTGGTATGGATTGGCTCAGGAAGTATAAGACACATCTGGATTGTCGCCGTGGCCGGATTCGGTTTGAGACTACGGAAGAGATTTTGGAGTATCAGGATATCAGACCGAACAATGGAAGCTTGATTTTTTCGGCAATGCAGACTGACCGGATGATTGAGAAGGGGTGTGAGGCGTACCTGGCTACAATCACGACCACCAAGGTAGGACCGGATGCGGAGCTGGGCAGTATTCCGGTTGTAAGCGAGTTTGAGGATGTGTTTAAGGTGCTAATGGATTTACTGCCTGCACCGTCAGACTCGTTTACCATCGAGCTCGAGCCTGGAACAACGCCAATATCCAAGGCACCGTATCGGATGGCTCCGGCTGAGATGGCCGAACTGAAGAAACAGTTAAAAGATCTGATGAAAAAAGGGTTTGTCTGACCAAGCAGTTCACCGGGGGATGCAATGGTGTTGTTCGTTAAAAAAAAAGATGGGAGTTTTTGGCTGTGTATCGATTACCATGGACTGAACAGGGTTACTCTGAAGAACAAGTACTCATTGCCACGGATAGACGAGCTGTTGGACAAACTTCGAGGGGCGACTTGGTTCAGCAAGATCTATTTGGCTTCGGGTTATCATCAGATACCCATAGAAGAGTCGGATGTAAGGAAGACCGCCTTTAGGACAAGGTATGGTCACTTCGTGTTCATAGTCATATCTTTCGGGCTGACTAATGCTCCTGCCGCCTTTATGAAGCTGATGAACAACGTGTTCCGAAACTGCCTGGATGAATTTGTAATCATCTTTATCGATGATATACTTGTTTACTCCAAGAGTCGGGAAGAGCATGCGGTTCATGTAGGGACCGTGATGAATCGGCTAAGGGAGCATAAGCTGTTTGTCAAGCTCAGTAAGTGCAGCTTTTGGCAAAGAGAGATCGGATTCTTGGATCATGTGGTCTTGGACAAGGGAGTGTTTGTTGACCCGGAGAAGATAAAGTCAATTGCGGATTGGCCTAGACCTGAGAATGCCTTGGAGATAAGAATTTTTTTGTATTACCATCGGATCCTGAAGGGATTTACAAGCATGGCGCAGCCAATGACCCGGCTAACGGGTAAGGACATACCATTTGTGTGGTCGGCCGAGTGTGAGATGTTATTTGCCAAGCTTAAAGAAATTTTGACTAGTACGCAGTTCTGGCTTTGCCTGAGCCGGATCAGCCGTATGTAGTCTAAACAGATGCGTCGCGGATGGGATAGGGTTGTGTGATGACGCAACAGGGTAAGGTAATTGCATATGCCTCAAGGCAGCTAAAGAAGCACGAGGTGAATTACCCTACTCACGACCTGGAGATGGCTGCAGTAGTGTTCGCGTTAAAAATTTGGCGATCTTATCTTTATGGTGGAAATTTTCAAGTCTTTACCGATCACAAAAGGCTAAAGTACATATTCACTCAGCTTAAGATGAATATGAGACAAAGGCGTTGAATGGAGTTTGTGGCAAACTATGACTTGGATATTGTTTACCATCCCGGTAAGAAAAATCTGGTCGCTGATGCGCTTAGTCGGAAAAGGGTTGCGGCTCTTGCCGAACAGGATGTTAAAGGATTGGTCCAAATGGTTGGGACGCTACGGTTAGTGGCCTTGAGCGATGATGTGGAACCGTTGGGTTTAGGCGCGGCTGATCAAATGGATCTGCTAAGCCGAGGAAGGATTGCCCAGGAAAAAGATGAAAATCTGATGAAGTGAGCAAAGATAGATCAGAGCGAATATCAGACTTCGAACAATGGGACGATCTTGGTGAAGGGTCGGGTATGTGTACCAAACAACAAAGAATTAAAAAAAATCCTAAGGGAAGCTCACCATTTCAAGTTCGTTGTTCACCCAGGATCGACGAAGATGTACCAGGACCTCAAGTGGTATTACCACTGGGTCGGGATGAAGCGGAACGTGGCTGAATGGGTGGCTGGGTGTCAAACTTGTCAATTGGTTAAGGCCGAGCATCAAGTGCCAAGCAGCTTGTTGCAAAGCTTGCCAATTCCCGAGTGGAAGTAGGACATGATCACGATGGATTTTGTGACAAGATTGCCTATGTGCGAAAAGATAGATTCCGTCTGGGTCATTGTGGATCGGTTAACTAAGTCTGCACACTTCTTGGCGGTAAACAAACACGATAAGGTGGATGCCTTAGCAAAGTTGTATGTGGATGAGATCGTCAAGTTGCACGGTGATAACACCATATTTTGACCACTTTTATGGATCATAATTATGTCTTATGCAGGTGTTTTAACTCTGTTTTCAAAGGTTTTTAAAGTGTTTTCAATGTTTTAGAGTTTCAAAAGACTTTACAGGAAACTTGGGCAAAAGATATGCAATTTGAAATAAATGAGCAATTTTGGATAAATGCAGACCTTCAGAAATATGACAAGCGATGAAGACCTTCTCACCGTCTGATCACCCCCAAAATTTGAGACGATATAGAGGATCCAACCATCTTTCTAATTCACTTAGTTTGGAGACAATCCAACGGTTAGATCTTCAGATACTCCCGATGCAAGAATGACAGAAAATCCAGTTCCGGAAGAGAGCCATGTGCCGGGACCGCGGCCAACACCTGTTTTCCCATGGGTAGAGCCACCGCGACCACGGAACTTGGTCGTTCACTTTCCTGACGACTTAATTAAAGCCCAGATCAATTCCTTTCGTTATTTTTGAAGCCTTAAGTGTCCAGGACCACCCCAGAAGCTATAAATACCCTCTTTAGGTCATTCTAAAGAGTAAAGACCGAAACTAATAGACAAAGAAGAGAGAGAGAGAGTTTGTGTGGAACCCTAGAGAGGAGGCCGCCGTTTTAAGGAGAAGGAGCCGCCGCTGGAGAGCATCATCGTGCCTCCGTCGTCGCCTCTGTTCTTCGTTTTTCTTCCCTCTTTTCTTTAGTTTCCTGCACTTTCAATTTCGTTTATGATGCTTTGTTACAATATGTTTGAGTAGTTACCCAGTTGGGTTAAAAAGGATTGTTCAAAGAGAATTTCATGTGTCTTTGCTTATGAATCGATAGATATAGGATTTATAATATTCTAGATGTTCTCTGTGTACTTTTAATCTTACTGCATGATTCTTTGCTGGCCACTTAGAAGCCGATCTGACATGATATGTTGCGAAAAGCTTCATTGATTGTCTGAACTAGGGTGAAACGAGCAAATCTTCTATAGGAGTGGAAACCTACCTGTAGTTGAGTTGTGAATGTTGATGAGTCTTGTTCAGCTATTGCATCTTCTCCCTTCCAGGATCAGAGTGGAAACCTACTGATCAGGGTTGCGAGAGATAGTTGTTTAGTGCTGCGAAAGTAGGCTATTCATACTTCCGTGCCTCGAGTTCTAGAACATACGTAGTTGATTACCTTTATCACTTATTTAAAATTGACATAGCCTAGTCCATGAATCCCTGCGAATTACCCTTGAGCCCAAACGTTTGTCTTTAATTGCTTACAACCTTCAATTCTATTTGCTTTTCATTCGCTTATTCCCTGCTTCCATTTGCCTCTTGTTTAATCGCTTAATACTTTTTTCTGTTTGCTTTCATTTTTGTTTGCTTTTACTTGCTTTGCTTTCTAGTTTAGATTTAGTGACAACCAAAACCCAAAACCAAAACCCAAATTGTTTAGTTCTAATCTGATTTAAGCATTGCCGTGAATTCGTACTGAAACAACTAAGTCTCTGTGGATCGATACCCTAAGTACTACAGCGCACATATGTGCACTTGCAGACATTTAGGGATTATAAATTTAAAACCTGAAGCTTAGTGAAACAAAAACCGACCAACCCCGTTTACAATCGCAATCAAGTTTTTGGCGCCATTGCCGAGGACTTTGATTTGTTTCGTTGCGAATCCCAGCTTAAATCCATTAGAACACTTGTTTACTTTTACTTTTTCTTTTGAATTTTTCAGGTTTCTCTGCGATGAGAGACCAGGAACATGTTCTCGGGACTCTTGGTGATCCACCATATCGTGTGGATGGTGATCCAAGCAATGATGACCTGACTGATGATGAGTTTGAAGAACCGATTTATGATAACAATGAGCTAATCGGATCGACAAAACATGAAGATGATGATGAACTGATTGGAAGTTTCGATTCACTCGAGAAATTCTTGGGAGATCGAAGAGCTATTCAACCAGCCTTACCAAAGGATGGCAAAACCGAAATTAAGGTACCTTATATCCATTTAGTTCAACAAAATCAATTCTATGGTTATTCATTCGAAAACCCGATTGACCATATCGAGACGTTCGAAGAATTATGTGCAACCATTACAGCAAATGGGGATTACCATAAGTGTAGTCTTTTCCCATTCTCTTTGAGAGATAATGCCAGTAAATGGCTAAAATCTTTGCCACCTGCTTCACTAAAAACGTGGGCAGCGTGTAGAACTGCTTTCCTAAATCGTTTTTACACTAGAAATCGTTCAAATCTCTTAAGGAACAAGATAAGAACTTATAAACAAAAAGAAGATGAATATCTTTTAGATACTTGGGAAAAATTTAGGGAATACCAAAGAGATTATCCCCACCACGGATATACCGAGGAATACCTGCTGGGTATCTTCTATCGCGGTATAACTCCAGAGTTACGACATTCTTTCGACACAGTAAGTAATGGAGACTTCTCAACTAGATCTGTAGAAGATGCTCACGTTTTCATTAACAATTTCGCAAACAGCATCCGAAATCAAGTAACCTTTGGTAATTCTGCACTTCCTGAGAAGAAAGAAGAGATCTCGGAAGTTATGAAGTGTCTCCATCACATAATGAGTCATCTTGGATTGCAACAACCAAACAAGGCACACAATACGTGTAACTTTGATGGTTGGGATAACCCAATGGATTCTTATGATCAAGAGATGATGAACACTGCAGAAATCTATCAAATTCAAGATTTTCCATTCATTTCTGATCATCGCGGGTCCATTCATCCGGACCGTGGCAAACCAAGCTTTCACCATGGTCGTGATGATGCTGACCGCGGCCAAGACATGTTTCACTGCGGTCGTGAGCTTTCTGACCGCGGGAAATTGTCTTCCGAGCTTGCCTGGAAATCACTTTCCGAATCAATCTTGGCTATTCAATCTAATCTTGTTCCATATCCTAGTTTTCCCTCTTCTGAAGCTAAAAACCTAAACAAAAGAATTCTAGAGATTGAAAAATCTAGGTCTCAAGAGATTAGTGATCTTAGATCTGAACTAAAAACGATGCAAGAGGATTTCAATGAAAAATTTTCCACCCTCCTTAGCCTGATGATCAAAACCAATTCTAAAAACATAGAAAATTCTGAAGAGAAGCCAAGTGAAAATTCTTTCGAAAACTCAAGTGAAGCAGATCCCTCCGATCATGTGAAAGCTATCACACTTAGGAGTGGATTAGCTTACAAGGAGCCTGAATTTCCTAAAGATCCAGAAGTTGAGGAAAAGGGTAAGGAAAAGGAGAAAGAAAGAGAAAGAATCACGGTAGAAGACATTGAAAAAGAAGTGGTAGGAGAGAAAGATGGAGAAGAAGTAAGAGAAGATTCATCCCGGGAAATCCTTGGAGAAGACCCAATTTCACCTCCACCAACTCGTGTCTACAAACCTAAACCTCCATATCCTAGAGCCTTAAGAGCCCCTAAGAAAGAGAAAGAAAAAGCTAAGCTGAAAAAGCTAATCGATCAATTAATATGAGATTACCTTTCGTAGAAGCTTATGCCATGATTCCTGCTTTAAAAAAATACATGAAGGATATTCTAACAAATTCTTTAACTCTTGAAGAAGGCGTTATGATGATAACCCATGAATGTAGTTCTATCCTGCAAAGCCGAATTCCTGAAAAGAAAAACGATCCTGAAAGCTTCGTACTTTCATGCACCATCAATGATGTCGTTTTTGAGCGTGCTTTCTGTGATTTATGATCTAGCATAAACATGATGCCTCTTTCAGTAGCAAAACGTTTAGGACATCACACTTTCCAGCCCACTAAAATTTCCTTAGTATTAGCTGATCGTTCCGTTAGACAACCTGTAGGTATCTTAATTGATATTCATGTCGAAATCAAAAAATGTTCCATACCAACCGATTTCGTAGTTCTAGAACTAGAAAGAGAATCTAAGGATCCACTTATTCTTGAACAACCATTCCTATCTACAGCCGGAGTCATAATCTTTTTATTTGCAAGACGTCACTTGATTCTTCAATTTTTATTACTATTATAAAATAGAGAGAAGTTGTAAGAGTGAGAAGTTGTAGGATGGTATTTAGTTTTATTAATTCGAGTATTGGTTGGTCTTAAACTCTTAATCTAAGAGTAAAAATAAGAAAATTGGTTCGGTGTTTTTAGATATTCGTAGGTCGTATTGTTTGGTCACCCTAGAAGATTGTATATATATATGAAGATACATAATATATAAATAACTACTGTAATCACTACTTCAGTAAAAAATTGATATTTATTATCTAGTATCTTCCTTGTAGAATTTTGTTGTGAAATTGCCTTCTAGAATCTTATTGTGAAATCGCAAGGTAAAGGTAAGAACGAGAAAAATGGAATTGAGGCAAAAATCCATCTAAGGTTTGTTTGAATACTGAAATGATACTTTTTTTCCGTCTAAATTGCTTTTTTATTATAAACAAACAAACCAGTTTTTACAAACAAAAAAAATATCACAGCTAAACATCAAAGCAGAAACAGACCAAAAGGATTTACAACACAACAGTGTCACCTTCTTCTATAAATGTATTCTGCATCCAAAAAGGGTAGCCCAAAGCTACATATGATTGTCGACGATCTTCATTCGTAACACTTTTAGCAATAAGAGAAGCACCTTTGTTAGTACTCGGACTCTCATAAACAGCTTTCCAATCCGAGATCTTGCTTAAAACTTTGGAGATTTCAAGAGCCTGAAACTTGAAGGAAGGCCAGGCATTAGGTCTCGATAAAGCTCCTATCAACTCTGAGGCTTCCGACGCAAAAATTATATTAGACTGATGCAAACTTGACATACTTTCCACTGCCCAGATCCAGCTTGCTAACTTAGCATCATTAAGCGAACGAATAGGACTGAAGGAGCATCTACTATGTAATAAAACCACTCCTTTATCATTCCTTAAGATCCAAGCAGCACCTCCTATTGAGTTAGATTTATCCCATGAATGCCCAATATTACACTTTCTACATGAAATAGGAGGATGCAGCCACTTCTTTGCTCTTAACGTGGCACCATTACGATCAAGCTCCTGATCCACTCTTTCTATTTCTTGAGCTAGAAACCATTGATTGGTATCATCTCTAATCTTATCCATAGTATCAATGGCTGAACAATTCTTAGCTTCAAAGAGGAAAGAGTTTCGGTTTTTCCAAAGCAACCAAAGAATCCAAGGGTATAATCTTCGAATTTCTAAGGGAATATCTTTGTTTTTCCAGCTCATCAGCAAATAAAAGATATTCTGAAAAACTGAATTTTCATGGAAACCATCTTTTGGAGTAGGAAATTGAGAAGAAGCCCATACCTGTCTTGCTCTTGTACATGAGAATAAAACATGATTTGCAGATTCACCTTCAAGACCGCAAATTTGGCACCGAGTGTCCATCTTCATACCTCTTGAAATGAAATTATCAACGACCGGAATGGCCCCGCTAATCACTTTCCACATGAATGTTTTGATTTTGGCTGGGCAGAGAGAGGACCAAATTTGTTTTTTAATTTCATCAAAGGAGGGTTGTCTTAACATCTCTTCTCTAACAACCGAAGCGTTAACTTTACTAGCCAAGCAAAATCCAGATTTCACCGAATATTCTCCACTCCTTTCAGCTTTCCAACACCAAAAATCAGGAGATGATAAAATCGGTTTGATTTTGATGATCAAATCAATGTCTCGTTGTAAAAAGTGTTCCTCCAGCTTGTCTCTATCCCACCATTTCCTTCTATGATCAATAAGATCTTCCACTTTTAATTCCAAATCTACTAGACTGTTTTTTCTAAGAGGAGCTCTGTAATCTCCATCCTCAATCCATAAATCAGTCCATACTCTTATAGAAGCACCGTTACCAACCATAAGTCTTAAACCTCTCTCAAGGAGATCTCTTCCAAAAAGTATGCTTCTCCACCCAAAGGAAGGCCGAGTTCCTATTTCAGCATCTAGAATGTTATCATTATCATAGTATCTACTTCTCATAACCTGAGAGAAAAGACATTCTGGATCCTGAAGGAGTCTCCAAGCTTGCTTTGCCAACAACGCTTGGTTAAAATCTTCAATTTTACGAAAACCTAAGCCTCCTTGATCTTTGGGAATACACATTTTTTCCCAGCTAATCCAGTGAATACTCCTTTTATTCTGCTCTGTTCCCCACCAAAAATCAGCCATTGCAAAAGTTAGCTTCTCACAAGTATATTTAGGAAGTTTAAAACAAGTCATTGCATACACCGGCATTGACATAGCCACAAACTTAATCAAAACTTCTTTTCCTCCTTGTGATAACAATCTTGAGTACCAGTTGGACATTCTATTCTTGAAATTATCTTGAATATAAGCCAACATCTCTCTTTTTGATCCACTGAAGCATTCCGGTAAGCCTAAATATTTGCCTGCTCCACCTTCATTGTGAATACCAAATTTTTCTTTTACCATCGTCTTCAGACTTTCTTCAACATGATCACCAAAAGTCAAGGAAGACTTATCACGATTTATTACTTGACCAGTGGCTTCGCCGTACTCCTTCAAAATACTTTGGATTGTTGCACATTGGCTTTCTTCTATCTTGCACATGAATAAGCTATCATCTGCGAATAACAAATGATGAACCGCAGGACCCGAATCCGAGAATTGAATACCATTTATTAGACCTTCTCTTTCAGCTTTATTAAGGAGATGAGTCAAACCTTCAGTGCATAGAACAAACAAGAAGGGGGATAAGGGATCACCTTGTCTTAACCCTCTTTCTGGAATGATTAAACCATGCGTTTGACCGTTAATAAGAACCGAGTATGAAACTGATTTGACACAGAACATAACCCAATCTATCCATTTACGATGAAAACCAAGAGCCTTGAGAAGATCAGCCAAAAACCTCCATTCAACTCTGTCATAAGCTTTAGACATGTCAGTCTTCATAGCCATAAACTCTTTTGAGATCTTGGGATGAGTTCTTAAAGCATGAACAGCTTCATGGGCAATCATAATATTGTCTGAGATCAATCTTTCAGAGACAAATGCTGATTGATTTGGAGAAACAATCAGAGGAAGATGGGGTTTCAGTCTTGATGCTATGATTTTGGAAATAATCTTGTACATCACAGAGCAAAGACTGATAGGCCTCAGATCAGTCATAAGTGGAGACCCAACCTTTTTCGGAATCAAGCAAATTTGAGTGAAATTCCATTCTCTTGGAAAAAAACCTTTTCTGAAGAAATCCATAATCTCTAAAGATACTTGATCCCCAATCACATCCCAATAATGTTGAAAAAAAAACCGGTCATACCATCTGCACCAGGTGCACTATCCGATTTAATAGAAAAGGTTGCATTCTTGACATCTTCTTTTGAAACGTCTTGGATGAGTAAATTATTAATGCTATCCGAAACTCTAGGCTTGAAATCCTTGAAAGTATCATGAAAGTCTTTAGGATGAGATGATTTAAAAAGATCAGAGAAATACTTTACAGCCACATCTCCTTTAGAAGCTTCAGCTCTTTGTAAAATTCCATTACCATCCATCAAAATTTCCAATCCATTTCTGGACCTAGAGGCTTTCACCGAGGCATGGAAAAATTTGGTGTTTCTATCACCATTACTAAGCCATTTATCTCTGCATTTTTGTTGCCAAAAACTTTCTTCATCAAGATAGGCTTTAACAAGATCACTTTTCAAAGATGTCATTCTCTGAAAACAAGGAAAAACGGCTGAATACTCTAAATCCAGATCTTTCTGCAGTCGCTGTATTTTATCATTGGCATTCATATTATTTTGCCTTTTCCATTTACTTAAGGCTTGACGACAAGATCTCATCCTATCTGCCACACTATTTGCTTGATTCCTTGTAGAAGAATTCCATGCTTGTATCATTGTTTCTTTGACCAAAGGTTGGTGAAGAAACCTTTTATCAAATCGGAAACAACCTCTATAAGAGTCTTGGGAAGAGATCAATTTCACTAAAACTGGTCTGTGATCAGAACCTCTTTTTTCTAAAAAAGCTTGATTAGAAGCTGGAAAAATTCTAAACCATTCTTTATTCCCAAATCCTCAATCCAGCTTACATTGAACCCATGTAGTATTCCTTGTTCCACCCCAAGTGAATCCATTGCCTGTATTTGGGAGCTCAGACATACCGCAACCATTAAGCATGTTTATGAACGGAAGAAAAGAAGAGTCGCATCTTCTTGGACCACCCAGTTTTTCATCATTGTTTTGGATTTCATTAAAATCCCCAATCATGCACCAGCATTCTTTTCTATTTACACCAATCCTCTGCAATCTTTCCCACACCAACGGACGTAGACTTGCAGTCGGATCTCCATAAACACAAGACATGAAAAAAGTAATAGCTCCATACTGTACACTAAGATCCATCAGATGCTTATCAACAAACTTGATTTCAATATCCACACTCTTTTTCCAAAATAAGGCTAACCCACCACTTCTTCCTTCTGGATCAACAGTATAAACACGATCATAACCTAGCCACTCTTGAATATCTACAAGAACATCCCTCGCATTCATCGTTTCCATCAAAAATAGAATCTCAGGGAAATGCATCTTCCGCATTTCCATGAGCCGCGGAACTGTCAAATTTTGTGTACGCCCCAAACCTTGACAGTTCCAAGACAGAAAGCTCATTAAGCGTTGGACGGTCCCTCATTTGGGACCATCTCTTTGTTGTTGGTCTTAGCACCTTTGGGAGAATTTTTTCTTACAGATTCTGTCTTCCTTTTATCCACGATCCCTTTCTCCAAACCATGATTTTTCTTTGCTTTACTCAAATCACTTTGAACCTCCGCTCCTTTTATCTTTCTTCTGCTAACATAAGGTCTCTTCCTCACATACTGTCTTTTCAGTTTTGTCCCGGGTGGACTAGCTTCAGAGAAACCAGAGCCATATTCCGTTGAACAATTCTGGAAAAATAGAGGATCAACCATACCAGAGCAAACCACATTATCGCTATGAATAGATTGAAGCTGCGACTCCCAATTCATAGCTGTTCCAGCTTTTATGGCAGAGGACAACAATTTCTGGTCTGAAGAAGCGGTAACATCCTTTCTAGAGTTTGTCTCGGCCATTTCATAGTCATAAACAATCCCCTTTCCTTTGTTGATATCATATGAGACTAACGGTGGCGGTTCTAAACGCAGAACAGTTTTTTTAGCTATTGGATCTTTTTCAACCTCTTTCAAAGATGATTTGATTCTCTCTTCCCTAATCTTCCTTTCATCTGGATTCACAACCATTAAGTATTGTCTCATACCTTCAAGAACTTCTGCTGCAATCTTTGGTTTACCTGTAATAGGGTGAATCCCAACTTGACCTTCTGATATAACTCCAAAGAGTGGGTCATTCTCCTTAAAAACAGCAGATTTTGATTTATCCGAGAGAACATTGGACCTTCTATTTGCAGCATCAAGTTGTCTCCTTTTGATGAGAAGAGGACAAACACTTTGTTCATGGGTTAATCTTTGACAAGTGTAGCATCTTTTCTGAAGGCGTTCATAAGAGTAAAGAACAGTTTCCTTTCCTCCATCAGGCAAATTAACCTCCTTAAAAGTTCTCAGCGGTCTAGACACATTGAAAGAGACTTTGACTCACACAAAATCCTGACTTTGAGCCTTAGCAGGATCAAAAACAACTTCAACAACACGACCGACGAATTCTCCAAGAGCCGTAATGGCACGAACAGTACGATGATTCATCGGAATATGACGGATCTGAACCCAAAGTGGGATGAACTGGAGATAATCTTCAGGGGGTTTAGCAACCCATCTTTCCATAGCTAAGGCCCAATCGTTATAGGTATGAACACCTTTCTCAAGAATCTCAATTAGGTCATGTTCTTCTTTGAAAAAGAACTGAAATTTCTCCTTCGTAAGAGCCACCCCTGTTACCTTGTCATATTTTTGCCATTTCCGTGGCATATCGAGGATTAAGTTAGCCATCTTTTGACAATCAGGATTCAACAATCTTCCAACCAAACTTAATCCATTTTCTCCACTTGAGCAGTATTCTGGAAGGTCTGGCATATCAAAGGGCTCTTCAACCTCCTCTAATGACATAGCCATCAACGCTTTGTCCATAGCAGCTGACATCGTTGGTAACTTTCTGGAAAAAACTTGATACTTGATCAAACACACAAAACCTTCGGTGGAACTTGGGTATAACACAAACTTGAAGCACTGAGCCAAAGAGAAAAATGAACTCTTATTTACTTTGAGAATTTTTGATAAACAAGAACTTTGACTAACTTTGACGAACACTGAAGAAAAACATGGGAATTCGGGTAATTTTAAGCAGATAAGATAGTAAATATCTTAATCTGGGTAAAAAACAAAAGAGATAAGAAGTTATCCAAACTAATGCTCTATCTTCTTTTAAAAAACGAATACTCTGATAGAAGAAGAGAGGACTAAGCCCAAAAGAGGAAAACAACGAAACTATCAACTTTTTTTATTATAATAATTTATTTTCTGAAATGATACTTATGAATCGCTATTTTGTTGAAATATCATTTATCTATTATAGATTATGAAAATAGTTAAAAAGATAATTCTATAGCACATAATTTTATCTGGCATATCAGTTTTAAAAAATTCAAGACAAACGGTTTTATTTGCACCATATTCGTGGTGGGCTATTTTATCTTTAACACGTTAAATTACGAGAAATAATCTATTTGCATTATGCTAATAATCTATATCTGATAATGTAGAAGCATTAATATTAAGACAAAGCTTAAAGATCACTGGTTTGAATGACTCTTAGGACGAAATTAATATTATATGCTGTAGTTTCAGATCTGAGAGACTTCGGTCTAAAAATTCCTGATAATCCAAATTTGAAGGTCATATTTATACTATCCAAAATCCGATTCTTATGGGATTTTTTTTTTAATATAAAGTTGTACGGCGTGACCTATCAATCCTTTAGATTTGTTCAGTTTAGACAATTCGCGATAAAATAACTAGTCCAAAAAATATTGGCTGGAATCGGTTGGGTTTCTTTCGGTGATTTATTTCGATGAAATCTAAGAATTGGTCTGTTTATAGAAAGATTGTTTCATATTTGGTTTGGTTTGCTTTGATCTGGTTTGGTTTGATGCAAATTCCAAAACTAATTGGTTTTTTGAATTTTTTTATTCACATAGTTAAGTAGAATAAATAGAAAACCCAATTTAATTCCGTTTGAGGCATATGACCATACCTCAGTAATCCAAACTCAATTTGGTTATTTAATTTTCTTAAATAGGTTTCTCATAAATGCTTGAAAGGATGTGTTACCTACCAATGATCATTCCAACTTAATGCGATACTTACGACCATTTAAATCAAATGTTTTTGGACTCATTTAATTGTAACACAAAGCTCTATTCCTTCTAAACACCAACAAAAACATCTGCTTTTACAATCTTTTTCCGATCGACTTCTTCACCTGAAGAACTTATATACATTGACGAGACAAAAAAAGGGACTCAGTTCTTAATCTCTGCTTAGGTTTTTTACATCTTAATCTATAAAATTTCATCTCCTACGTAATAACCAGAGAAGAACACAAGAGAAGAAAAAGAGTTTATTCAGAGAGAAATGTTTATATCTCTTTTCTTCTTCTGATGATCTCACACAGAGACTCTGTTTCTTGCCCCTCAAGTAAAAAAAAAAAAAAATCAACTCGTAGCTTCAGAGATGCTCTGCAATGATGGCCTCCATGTTTTTGATTTCGACGAAGCTGAATTCGTTAACACTGAACGTTGTTTCTCTTCTTTCGTTTCCTATATAATTAAAAAAGAAAGCTATTAACAGAAAGTAAAGAACACTAATTTTCTGGATTTGAGTCAAGAAATAGAGTGAAAAAGGTTGATATTTTGGCCAAACCCATATCTAAATAAATAGTTAACTACTATTAAAATTCGATTAAAGCTTAATCCTTTAGCTAAACCCATATCTTAAATTCGAGTAATGATTCCTTACCATATGATTCTGATTCTTGTCAGATTCTTCAGCAACTTTCTTCTCCAGCGATGGCTTCTTCTTCTCTTTAGTCGTTTCACTCTGATGCTTCTTTGTCTTTGCATACTTCTTCGCTCTTAATACCTTCATAACCTCTACATCAAAATCAAGCATTAATTTAATCAGAAACCCATTATTCTGACATATAAAAATAAAACTAAGAAGCTAAAAAGAGTTCTGAAAATTCAAGAAACCAACCTTGTGAAGTGATAAGACGGTAAGCATGACCAAGAACGAGATTCTCCGTTGGTCGAAGAAGTTTCACGCGCGTGAACCTCACGACCCTTCTCTGACTCTTATCATCCGTCTCCGTCGTCGTATTCGCCGGAATATTCGTCTCCGGCAAAGGAATAATAAGTGAAACGTAGTGACCAGGATGCATACGCATGATTTCGGCGACGGAGACAGGACCGTAATATCTATCGATTTTGCCGTCGGGATGTTGTAGAACTAACGCCGCCGCATCAACCGCCTGACAATTTCCCATCTCTTCCTCCCAAAAAAACAATTTTTTTTTCCTTTCTTTGCTCTGTATTTCCAAAAAGAAATGCTATGATTGAGAGAGAACAAAAGAAAAAAACAGAGTAGAGAATGAAAAAGAGGAAGAGAGAAAATGAGTCTTTTTCGGGACAGCGTGAAGGGTTAGGTCCACCACACACAGCTTTGCTTATAATACATCTGAAACCCAAAAATAATATCATTAAAATCACTATTTATTACTTTATGATGTTGTGATTATTTTATTGGACTGTCATTTCGGAGTTAATGATAAGAATAATAATACTAATAAAAGATTTGTAACCATATTGTTTGCAGATTGACTGTGGTTGCCGGGGCCATCTCTGACGTTTACTTTTTTTTTCGTTATTTTTGGAGTTTAAACTTTAATCGAAATAGAGTAATATATAGGATGGTCGGAAATTAAATAGTTGATTAGAACGGGTGGGTGCCGGCACCGGCGATCAGGGACCGATGATTTTGACAGTTTTGTTTTTTTTTTCACTGTTTTAACATGATATTTTCTTATTAATTTCGTGCATTTAATTTTCTTACTCTTTTTAAATGATGTGATTCACTTAAGAGTGCTGCAATAAGCCAAAAAATATATTGATAGCAGTAGCAAATGTTAATGTTTTGACTCTTTTTTTAGGACTTGGATTATACTACTTCACCATATATAACCTTCCAACGTTCATCCTAAAAGTTATATTTTGTGTGTAATTAAACAAAAATCAATTACATTTTCAAAACATTCATGCAAGATTGTTTTTAAGAAAAGAAATAAGAAACGAATTGAACCACTTCCTTATAATATTAAAGAGGGTTTGTGTTAAGAACTCGAGTAGGGAGAATTTGAAGGTTTGTCAAACTCAAATTAGTCCTTAAAACCACAGAAGCTTAAGTATTATTTTGCATATTCAAATTTGGCCGATTATTACATTTAATGCACGTTGAACTTGGACCATGGACAAAAAGTTATGGTATATAGATTCCAGAAGAAAACGAGAAAAATCGTCTATAGTTGAAGATAACCTAACTAATAGATCCAAAAAATCAATTTTGGTACCACTCATGAGTCATGACGAGTAAAAATACAAAATATTAATATTCTATAGAGAAAATGGAGACATATATTAGAGATATCTCAAGAACTAAAATAAATTAAGAAAAATGTGGATTGGGTGGACAAGAGAGACTGCAACTTCTTATCTCCTTTTTCTCACTTTCACAGACTTAAATGCTTTCTCTTGACATTTTATTTTTGTTTTTATTTACTTTTGTATGTTCCATTCGGTCAGTACCGGTTTGGTTCTTTTGAAGTCCGGTTAATGTCTCTGATCAGTTCAGTGTAAAGAATGGGTCAGCCCGTTCTTATTTTGATTGACAAAGTATAATAGGACACTTGAAGTAACAAAATGCTATGGATTATTCCCCCAAACAAAAATTGTAACAAAATGCTATGGGGTACTAATAATATATTTATAAACATAAAGGTACAAAATAGATTTTTTATATAAATCTAAATTTCTGAAATTAAGATAAATACATATGAAAATAATATGATCACATATATCGGCTAGTTTAACTAAAACATTGCAAAATGTATTCAATAATGAATTTAGACAATTTCGATTCGGGTTTGGTTGATTTATCGATGAGAGGATACAAACATTCTGTCAAAAACTATATACATACTAATTAAGCTCCATCTGGGAATTAAAGCAATTATTTGAATTTTTGGAAGGTCCAACTTTTCCACTAAGCATCACTTATTAATTCGAAGTCTAAATTTAAAGTTTACTACATCGTTATCTTCTTTACTTTTTAAGAAAATCGTTATCTTTTTCAGGGGGAAAATATATTTATCACACTACTTTAATGATGCCTACGTATAGAAGGTATATGCTAGGAATTAGGGTTCAATTATGAGACGACCAAAAGTGAGATTTGAAGAAATGATTAGATACCAGATTATAGATTTGAGCCATATAGACTATTTAGCGTGAGAACTAAGAGCTAGTGGAAGAATGTTGAGAAATCTATAAAGCTTTTTTCGTTTCTTTTCTCTTCTTTTTCTCGACTATACGTTCAGTAACATCTATTTTATTACCCTGCTATAGTTTTTCTATTGAATTGTTATGGTAGATTTTCGAAATTTAGGTGGTACACTCCATACAAGATATCATTCATAAAAGACAACACTGTATATAGGATACAATAGAATGTTCTGTAATGTATTTATGGTATATTTAATTAAGATATACTGTACATTATTCCGAAGATATATACTCGAACAATTTCCTTCCAAAGGCGGTGAAATAACGAACGGTGAAACTATCTGGTAAAAAACTACTGAGCCAAAAAAAAATGGAGAACACGAACTCGACCAATTACAATGTTTTCTGGATTAATATGGATATTAATTTTCACGTGTTTAATCTGTTGATGTTATAATTAGACGAAAGATAAATGACACTAACATATTTTTTTTTGTTAAATTAGTGTATCCAAAAGGATTTTAAGCCCAAAACTAATCACGAACGGCCCAACAGCCGAGATACACATCAGCAATTTGCTGATTTAATCGTGGAGAGGTAGCCAAGCGAATTTAATCCTAGAGTGGTAGGACACATACCCATACCACTGGAATTCCCAAACCACTGGGATACAATCGTTTGGTTTGCACTAACATTTTCACAATGCACCTTCGTTGCTCGTGAGTTGTGAGTCGTGAGTCGTGACAATGGAATCTTCATCTAAACAAAAGGTACGGAGCCAAGTATCCTCAGCTAGTCAGATAGTGTATTAGCAACTGCTGCAAGGAAAATCGCTGTGTGAGCTATATCGATGTAGTGAGCAAACTCGTGGCTTCATTTAATTTAAATTAATTACAATGGGAACGACGAAAATTATATATGGCACAACACTTTTCTTCATTTATATATATGACATCCGAGATTTTTCTTTTATGAAATTCGAATATTGTTTTTACGAATCACAAGTATTGCAAAGGTTGCATAAAAATTTCGTCCATGATCTGTTTCTCGTTTCAAAAATGTTTTTATTATTATCGTATATACATCTAAAAACGTTTTCATACTTATATATAATCCATTTTAAGAAAAAACGCTTTTATTTTTTGAAATGTTTCGCTTTTATATATCCGTATCCACTTCCATACAACCTAGATTATTGCCAACAATATACAATCAATATGGACCACTTTTGCTACATTTTTCGAAACCATGTCCTTTCTAAACTCAAGATCAAGACTATGCAATTACTCACATGACGTCATCATTTCCTGTAATAAGTAGGACCGAAGATTCGGATATCCTAAGGAAACATCCTCATGGTGAAGATTAATAATCATATTTTTAGATAAATTAAAACGGGAAACTGTTACTGGCCACAATAACCTGACTCATGATCAGTGTCCTTTCAAATCATATTTAAAATTGCAAAAAAAAATCTATTATTAAAACAGAACCACATATAGTACTTGCTTCCAAACACTCTTAATTTTTTTAAGTGTTTAAAAATAAATAATTATATTTAATTTTGAAAATTAGTTATCAATTTAAATATTTTTAGAGTTCCTTAAATATAGGCAATTTGGATTTGATTTGATTTGATTAAAAATAATAAATCAGATATTAATTTAGATTTGATTTAAAGATTCTAATTTAAAATAATTTCTATACTATTAAACATTTTTATCAAAAATATCTAGAATTTTTGAAAAAATTCACATATGAAAAATAATGGTCATATTTGAAATATAAAATATTTATAATGATGTAAATGATATGATATTTATGTTGCTGATATAATATATTTACGATTATGATTTATTTACAAATTAATAATAAAATAATAGGTAAAATTCAAATGTATAATTTAAATATTAAAAATATATTTTTTAAAATTCATAGAACTAAAAATATATATAAAAAACCGGGTTAAAAATATTTTGGTAACTAAAATCACTAATTTTGAATTATACATGCATATCGAAAATATATTTTTCATACAAAATCAAAACATAAAAAATTAAAAATTATTGCATACACTATAATGTGGTTTGAAAAATCAGTTGTACACTCCCTTCGTTGATTAAATTTTAGAAAACTATAATGCTAAATAATACTGTTAATACATCTCAAACTTTTAACAAATATTTATATTATACGGTAATATGAACGGAAAAGTTAGAATTATGTTTTTATAATAGTTCATTTTCAATTAATATTAGCGGACGGGTTAAAATTATATTTTTATAATCATAATTAATTTTAATACTATAAAAATATATATAAACACAAAAATCAATATTTTCACTTATGAAAAAATATATTTATAAAAATAATTATATCTAAACTCAAAAACACAAAAATACAAATTATATTACAAAATTCATTAAACAATAAAAGTTATTCTCGTGCGGATGCACGGGGTTAGAATCTAGTAAAAAATTAAAACGAGTTCTCTTTCGTGGATGCATCCTTACGAGTTACGACCCTACCTAATATATTATATATCCATCATCCATTGATTTTGTACAAACTTATTGTAAATTAATTAATTATTAACTTAAGTTAAAATTCAGATTTGCATATATACGGAGACCTAATCACGTTGACGTTTGTACGGCGACCAACACGCAGAAAATAAAGATTTTGGTTCGCAAATTATGTCTTTTGGTTCTTCATCCACCCAACATCATAAATTATAATAATCTTTTTTTTTACTTTCGTTAAACACAAACAAAACCAGCTATTTTCCAGAGCATCTTGGACTTGTTGTTGTTGGTGAAATATCTTGAAAAATGATTAGGTAATACTATAAGAATTATTCAACAAATTAAGTAATTTGAAATTCCGAGGATTTAGCTTATATTTTTAGTTTAAGACTTTAATTTGTTGACATGTGTGAACACATGATCTGATACAACGGTCAGAGTGCGAGTGTGTGCCATGTGAATGTGTTTGTGAGGTTTTTGATTTCTCAACTTATTTAATGTATTTGACAATTGTATCTTCATTTTCAAGTTTGTTCACTACATCGATATAACTGCACATCCCAATCCATAACCAAATAATAAATTCACTAATTAATAACGACTTGTTTAACCACTAAAAACTTAATTATAATTGATTACTCTTTTCG